GAGGGCTTGAGAAAAGCAGAAAGAGGGGAGTGAGGAAGAGCATGCAAGGGAAGAAGGGCAGAGACAAGAGATGTGAGAGAGGAGGGATGAGGCATATCAGGACCTACGGAACTGGAAGACGGAGGGAGGGTGGAGAAGGGAAGAGGGAGGCAGTGCGAGGGGGAAACGAACGGACAACAGAGGAAGGGAGAGGAGCGAAGACTCTTGTTTATCCCCGCATTGCCCGCTCCCTTGAAAGGAAGAGGAACAAACGATATATAAAAGCAAAATGAACATCTTGAGGGCCTCTCGGGAGTCTCCTGATCTGGCCCGAGGCCCTTCCTGGCCTCCTGGTGGCCCTCTCCGCGGGCTCTCGGGGCCATCTGGAAGCATCTGTTGCCCGCTACCTCCAGCAACAGGCGTGTCACATGCCGAATCAGCCAAGGGCACGTATTGCCCACGTGCCCCTGCCGAGAAGACGCACGTCGAGATACGATCCTCCGCGCTGCCATAGGCGCAGGGGGCAGGGTGTGAGCAGCTCCCTCCGCGCATCCCCGAGCACTCCGCGCCGAGCACCCTGCATGCTCCGAGCGGCCCCGACCACCGAGGCAGCCACGAGGACTCGGATTCACAACCCGAGATGACCTTGACCAGTACTGCAAGGATGCGCGGTAAGGATGCAAGGTTAGGAGGCAACTACTGGGAGGTTTTCATCGGAAGGGTTAAAGACGATTCAGCCCCACTGGGGGGCTGTTGCGCCGGAGTGGGCCTCATATTAAGCGGGATTAAGCCGGGTTTCGGACCAGGCCAAAATCAGAATTTGACCTCCCAGGAGCTGCATCCGAAGCAAGGGCCTTGGAACGTCATGTCGACGTTTCCCGTGCGGAGCGCAGCAGAATGCCGAAGGATGCCGAACACCGAAAGGGGCAAGGACGCAGGGGTAGCCTTGGAAAAGTGCCCCATCCTTACTACCATGGTTGACTGTAACCTCGAGATGGCCGAAGACGGCACAAAAGGCCCGGAAGAGGACCCCAAGACGGCCCAAGAGGCCTCCGAGAGGTCCACCAATAAGGCCCGAACAAAAACAATATCTTTGTGACGGCCCAAGAAGCCGCCCAGAAGGTGCGGGATGCCTCCAAGACGCCGAATATGGCCTTCACGGCGGCCCCGAAGCGCCCCAAGACAGCCCCAAGTCGGCTCAGAGAGGCCCCCAAGACGGCTTCCGACGGCGTCTGACGGGCCAGGAACGCCCTCTGACGGCCAAAGAGCATCCCAAGGAGACCCCAAGAGGCCCAAGGAAGCTCCCAAGAGGCCTCCAAGATGCATCCAGGAAGCTCGTAAGAGCCCCTAAGAGTGCTCAAAGAGGCTCCCAAGAGGCCTCCTCCTCGTCCTCCTCGTCCTCCCTCTCCTCCTGTTCTTTTATCTCACCCAAGTGTTCCCTCAAAGGTTTCCACAGCGGCTGGGGCAACACGTAACTAGTCCGATATAGCTTGGCCGAGCTCTGGCCGCAACGTTCGGCCACATAGGCGTTTCCAAAAGGCAAGTGCTGGCGGTGATTTGCCGTAGGCGTCTTCAATCCGCCGCCCCGTGTGGCTCCATGTGGCTTGCCACAAGGGTGCCTGGCATGCCAAACTTCTGAATGGTGTTGGCTATTTTGAAACATACCAGTGAGGTCTCGGCCAGACGGCTTAGATGGCCTCCAAAACGGTCCCAAGACACCTCCAATAATAGCCCCAAGAGGGCCCAAGAGAGCCCCAGGATGCCTCCAAGAGAGCCCAACCCCACGACGCCCCAGGAGGGCTCCAAGATGACCTCCAGAAAGCCGAATGTACTGATCCCTTTGAATGTTTGATTGGTTTTAGCTTCCTGGCCTTTTCGGGTTCCCGACGCTCCAATACGGGCCCATCGGTCCCAAAGATCGTCTCAAGAGTCCCCAAGAGGCTTCCCAGAGGCCCGCGAGACGGTCCAAGAGGGCCCGTGCAGCCCAAGAGGCACCCAAGACTGCCCCAAGACGGCCCCAAAGCGCCCAAAGAGGAACCCACGACTGCCCAGAGAGGGTCCCAAGACGGCCTCCGAAGGCCAAGGGGTCCCTTAGAGGCCCCCAAAGGCCCTCAAGAAGCCCCCAAGAGGCCCGAAGAGGCCCCCAAGAGGCATCTCAGAGACTTCCAAAAGGCCTCTCAGAGGCCCCCATGAGGCTCCCGGGAAGCTCCCAGAAGGCCACAAGAAGGCCTCAAACGAGGGCTCTCTTTCGTCCTCCTGCTGCTCCTCCTCCTCCTCCTCCTCCTCCGCCTCCGCCTCCTCCTCCTCCTGGTCCTCATTCTCCCTCCTCTCCTCCTCCTTCTCTTCCTCTCCCAAGTGCTTCCCCAAGGAGGTTCACAACGGCTGGGGGAACACATAGAGTCCAATAGCTTGGCCAGACTTCGGCCCAACGTTTGGCCGCGTGGGCAGATCCAAAACACAGAGGACGACAGTGAGTCGCAGGGCGTCTTCGATCCGCCGCAACCTGTTGGTTCCAAGAGGGGTTGCTGGTTTATGTTGCCCCCATCGTACTTAAGGATCGAATCCCATAAATGATTTCGAGCACCAAAAAACCATGTCGAACGAGTATCGCCTCTCAGGGCCCGACACGTGAACACTTTCCAATGTCGGTACTTTCCTGGTGGTCGACATTCTTTCTGGTGGCCAAGGCTAAAGCAGGTTGGAACATCATAACTGTTGGCGTGGAAGATGATACGTAGCTGCTTCAACCCTTCCGACATGTTCCCAATGTGGTCTCGGCCGATCCAGCCAGTCCACCGGAACCGTTGAAACAAAGCGACTCCCGTTGCTTTTCCCGCAAGGTAGCTCCAAGAGGACCTCCAAGACAACCAAGTTGACCCGAGATGGCCTCCAACGGTCCCAAGACGCCTCCAATACGGCCGAGGAGGCCCCAAGAGGGCCCAAGACGCCACAACGACGGCCCAATAGAATCCCAAGACAACGCAACGTGCACCCTGGCTGGATCGGAGAACTGAAACGAGCACAACTACACCATTACACAATTTTGGGAACTTGTGTAAGCGTTGCACCACTACACCGTTACACTAGTTTGCACAATGGTGCGCGCGCTACACCACTACACCGGTACACCACTTAATTGGCTGCTACTAACACTGCACAACTACACCGTTACACCAATATGCGAATGATGTACGCGTTACACCGTTACACACTAATACACCATTACACATTGTTGTGGAATGGCCTGGGCTTTATTTACACCACTACACCAATACACCGTGTTGTGGGATGGTGTATGCTTAACACCATCACATCATTACCCAGTACACCTTTTTGTGGGATGGTGCACTTTAACACAATCACACCATCACACCACCAGGTGGGTGGATGTTGTATAGATGCGAGAAGGAGCGTTGCTGCAAGTGCAACTTTGAACCCTCCCCTAAGGATCCTTAGATGGGGGGGGCACAGACGCTTTCTGCGCCCTCAAGAGGGCTCAGAGACAACAGGACATGGCTTCAAAACGGCACAGCAAATTCCCAGGACGGACCAACAAAGTCCTGAGACTTCCTATTCACCATGATGCGATCTGGGCGAAAATGCACGTTGTATATATCAACGAGCAGGATCGTGCTCGGAAAAAATAGTTTTGACCCCTCCCCCAATTATCCCTGGTGGGTGTCAAACCGCAGTCTGCGACCCTCAAGAGGCTTCAGAGATAGCCGAAATGTGTTACAAAATATCCCGGCAAAGCAACATAACAGCGATGCGTAGGAGCATATCTGGAAGCATTCCCCTTAAGATTCAGATGAGAATCCAGTTGTAGAATTCTGCTGTTCTCGCAGTCGTAGTCGCATTCGCGATGACAGTCGCAGTGGCAACGGCAGTCGCAGTAACAGCCTCAGCCTCAGCCTGCCTCAGCCTCAGCCTCAGCCTGCCTCAGCCTCAGCCTCAGCCTGCTTCAGCCTCAGCATCAGTCTGCCTTCAGCCTCGGCCTCAGCCTCAGCCTCAGCCTCAGCCTCAGCCTCAGCCTCATGCATCAGCCTCAGCCTCAGCCTCAGCCTGCCTCAGCATCAGCCTGCCTCAGCCTCAGCCTCAGCCTGCCTCTGCCTCAGCCTCAGCCTCAGCCTGCTTCAGCCTCAGCCTCAGTCTGCCGTCGACCTCGGCCTCAGCCTCAGCCTGCCTGCTTCTTGGCCCGTCTTGGGGCCCTCTTGGGCCGCCTAGGGGCACCCTTGAGAGCCTCCTGTGCAAACGCGGGGCGAATTAGGAAACCTCTGGGGTCGTCTTTGATCGTGTTATTTGCCGAAAACGAAGAGACAACACATACACGGTTTCTCGAAGGGGTGGAGCGATGTTTGCTTCTCGGGGCCCTCTTGGGGGTCCTTTTGGATTGGTCTTGGAGCGTCGTGGACGCTTCCCCTCTGGAGCCGCCTTGACGGCGGTCTGGGGCGCCTCTTGAGCCGTCTGGCAGCGCTGAAGCCCGAAAAGGCTTGAATGCACAAGTCGATCGAACACATTGCGAAAATAGCTAAATTTGGACAGTCGGAGCACTCGTCGGGGTCCTCTTTGAGCTTGTCGGGCAGTCTGATACCTCTGGGGGCGGTCTTCGGGGTAATTAGTTCGGAGCAACATTGGGCCGTCGGGGCGGCTGTCCGCTCGCTGTGGGACTTGTTTGGCGGCACCCCAGCAACGGGCCCGGCCCCGAAGCGCCCCGATGAGAGTCGGGACCCCGCCTGGACAAAAAGGTCACATGGGCGGGGGGGAGTTTTGAAAAAGTGTGCCGGCCGGGGGTTTGGGATCTGAGGGGGCATCTTGGGGCGTCCTGGCGACGCAGTGGCCGTCTTGTGACCATTTCGGGCTGTCTCGGAACGCTCATGGGGCCTTCGAAGCGCGTCCTAGAAGCGCCCCGAGCGGTCTGGAGTCTGGAGGCTGTCTTGTCCGGTCGCGGAACGCCGTGGGGCCGTCTCAGAACTCCCAGGGCCGCCACGTTGACCCTGGGGGAGGGCGGAGGCCGCTCTCTACTAGCGGACCCCCTCTCTGGTGCCCGGGGGCCAGAACCGCCCGGGTAAGTATAGACGTAGATTTGCGGATACCGCCATGCGTGTGTGGATATATAACACCTACGCACATATTTACTTGTCTTTATGTGTGTATACACATACATGTGTGAATACACCCATGTATGTGGCTATGTATGTCTGTATGTGTGTCTGTATGTGTGTATGTGTGTGTTTCTCCCTCCCGATCCAGAAGCCATGGGTCCAACAGGTTGGAATCTCTTGGGAGCTCACCCTTTGCTTCCGCTGGCCTTCCGCCGGCTTCCGCCAGCGGAGCTGCCGCCGTTGTACTTCCGCCGCCCTCCGCCGAGGAAGAGATGAAAACGCCTCCGATCCCTCGACGGGGAGTCCCATCTGGAACGCGACATGTTGTTTTCTTTTGCTGGCCTCTGGCATGGGCCCACGGACAGACTGATGCGGGAGGGGCAGAATAGAGGAACAAAGCAATGCACAGTGACACTTACAGAGGTCCGCGCGAATTCGTCTTGCACCTGCGCTGGACCACCCTCCCTGGCGGGGCGGCGCCGGAGGCGCCGCCAGGGTGGGCCCCAGCGCCGACCCCAAAAAACTGCACGGAAGTCTCAACGCTTATTAGACGAGCGCGTGCCACTGCTCGCAAAGTCACTCCTCTACTCGCAAATGGCCTGGATCCCCCGCGGAGGACCTACGATACATTACGTCCGAGCAGACACGTGTTCTTTTGCTGGACGTTTGCGAGTAGGCCCTTGGAGAGTAGTGGAACGCGCTCGGTGACTTATGCTCATGATCGAGGGACGCATGCAAACACAGTGGCAGCACTCGAGCGTTAAGTCGGGCCTGTCCCCCTACATGCCGATCTTGGACGAAAAATTACATGACAGGCCCGACTTACCTCGAGCGACGCCTTTCCTTGCGCCCAATCGAGCGGCCGAGCGGCCGAGGCCGCGCCGCGGCGCTGCCGAGGCAGAGGCGCAGAAGGGGGGGCCACTCTGCAGTCTGCAACGCCAGTGGGCCTCAGCGGAAAGGCAAAAACCTGCACACGCATTATCAACGGTCGGCGCTCCGCGCGGAGCTCCGGCACTTTGTTGCGTGGGTGCCGCCCGTGGCCTCCCTCGAGCCCTGGCCTCCAAATTCAGCCTCGGGAGACCCAAGAGGGGGGGGCCCTGCAGTCAAAGGGCACGACGCCAAACTGTGCAGGCCCCTTCGTCGAGGCTCCTACCAAAACCCAGGGGCCTGGGCCTCGCTGAATGGGGAGCCATGGTGATGGGGAGGGGGAAGAGAAAGGTGTCCTTCTCGGGCACCGAAGGCCCCTTCTGGGCCCCAAACAAGGGCTCCTCGAGGGGCCCTGCAGGGCCCCTTTTCTGCAGCCCTCGCTGCCTCACCCCCCCCGATCGCCCCCCCCCATTACGCGACGCCCCGGGGGCGAGCGGCCTCAGAGCTCCGGCCTCCCTGCTGCCCTTGAGCTTCTGGCTGCGGAGGGCGATCTGCCTCGGGGTCGCCACGCCCGCCCCCAGTGCTGCTCGCACCTCGGGCGACCTCCAAAAGAAGAGGAGGAGGAGGAGGAGGAGGAGGAGGAGGAGAAGGAGGAGGAGGAGGAGGAGAAGGATCAGTCATGCCATTCCAGTTTTTCTTGAACCGGATTTATGTTGCAACCCTTGGTGCGTCGAGGCGGCACGGATCCAGGGACATACCTGAGCGGGGGCGCGTCGGCGCCCTGAAAACATTGATACCACCCGTGTGGTGCCAGGGCGAGGTGAGCAGGACTATCCGCGTTAGCGGTTATATAAGATGCAGCAATCAGCACAAAGCTGATTGGTTTCCCTGCAAGGGGGGTGGAATTCTAAAAAAGACTAAGGGCGATGGTGGGGCTGTTGGACGGCGAGAGGAAAAGCTGCAAGCGAAAACCCTCACTCACTTCCTGAATCCCATGCTAAAGCAAACCCATCAGTCATGCCATTCCAGTTTTCCTTGAACCTGATTTCTGTTGCAATTCTTGGTGCGTCGAGGCGGCACGGATCCAGGGACATACCTGAGCGGGGGCGCGTCGGCGCCCTGAAAACATTGATACCACCCAAAATACGCAAAACTCGTTAGCGGTTCGAGGCGCTCCAGTTCAATCTAGCTTTCGCCCAAGGCACCACCGAAATACCGGAACAGCAGGCGGCCCCAAGTACTCTAGCAAACCCATTGTCGATGAAGATTTTGGCCAGGCAGGACCCAAATCGATAGGGAAAGCGGCCGCACGCTTAGTCCAGCGGACCCCCAGAGGGTCCCCTCCAGTCAACACGATGTGGGGCTGCTTTGAGTACTCACAGGGCTTAGTTCCGTAGCTACCACACTTGAAAATCATGTTCTCGATTCCTATCAGTCCAGCGCATCAGAGGGTCGTAGGTTTTTTCCATCTGGCCCCAAAACCACACATGTGAGTCACTACGTTCTCGACGTTGAGGCCTCGACAGAGGCCTTGAAACTCGGGGGTGGAACAGATCAGGCTCGTCTGCGGGTTCTCGATGGCCCACGGTACGCTGCACTGAGAAGCGTAGGCACAGAACTGGGCAGTCAGCTGCATGAGGCGGGTCCCCATCTCGAGCTGTCTCCGAATATGGGGCTGAACATCTGGCAGCCCAAGGATACGTTGCTTGGAGCGAATCATTGGCCTTCTCGCAATACTGCACGTGGTACACGGGGGGGCGCAGAGCAGGCCGAGACAGCGAGGATGTGCAATCAGCCTTCGGATGCGCCGTTGTACACTGACACGTGTGACATCACCCTGCGGGCCTTGCAAGATATCGAAGGCGAACGCATCGATCCCCCTCCGTCTCGCGGCTCGGCTGAAGCTGCCACACCCGCTGAAAACTTCAATCACGAAGAAGCCTTTCCTGGCGGCACGCCTCGGTGTGCGCGAAGCTGCTTGCCGGCTCTCAGCATGGTTTCCTCGAGCTCGAGCGCGCACCTGGTGCACATGAGACGGCTGCGCTGGTCTAGCTTGTTGTAGACGTCCTGCACCAAGGCCCTCTTCTCGTACCTCCTGACCGACGCCATGCTCCTCCATCTTCCCCGACGTTGTACTTCGGCGAGGTCGAGGCGGTTGTGGAGTCGGTCCAGACTGGCACCCGAGTGCCTCCCCATGTACAGGACGGGCTTCAGGTAGCTGATGCCAACCACGCCGCACACGGTGATGAAGCTCGCATTCATCTGCTTCAGGCTGAAGTCCCACAGGGGCCCCGTGCTGGGGCGGGCGTCCACGTACATCATCAGTATGTCTGACAGCCAGGGGCGACTCACGATGAGGCTCTCGTCCACCGCCCCCACCTTGCTGGGTTGGCCGTGCTCGGCGGGGTGCACCAGGATGGCCGCCAACGCCATGTGCCGCTGCGACGTTGCCCTGAGCACCTGCGAGGTCCTGAGGTCCAGGCACTCTCCCGGCCGCATGTAGGTGTCCACCATCAGCAGCCAGGCCAGCGCCAAGCCCAGCCCCTCCATGCGCCGCAGGTTCACCGCGATCGCGGCGACCACCTCCCACGGCAGGGGTCGGCGGGTCCTCCTGGGCGCCGCGCGGCGCCAGCCCCGCAGCGACCCCGTCGCTCTGGGCAGGGTCATCATACCCTTGGCATTGTACACCGGCACCACATACTGCATCGCTGCGATGAGCTTCTCTCCTGTCGACGGCGCCTTGCCCTCGAGGAAAAGCAGATCGAAGTAGCGGACCACGTGGGCGTCCAGCTCCGCCGGGTGCAGGCTGAGGTCCACGACATTCTGCTTCGTCTGGAAATCCGAGAGCAGTCGCTTGTACTGACCTCGGGTCTTCAGCGTCAGCGAGGCCTCCTCGGTGATACCGGGGCCTTCTGTCGTGTCCCGCAGCTCCCCGTGGGTGGCCAGTCGCCTCGCGGCTCGCCTCTGCTGCAACTTCAGCTCCTTCTCGCGCTCGGCCTCCTTGAGCTCCAGCAGGCCCAGGATCGGATGACCCGGAGCTCAGTGGTTGGCCCCGACCAAGCTCGACACGTTCAGGCCGGTCTTCTGCTGCTTGCCCTCCTGCGTCTCGCTCGGCCTGATGGGCACCCTCGGCTGGCTGGTCGCCTGCTGGCTCTGATCTGACCTGCTCCTCGGGCGAAGATGATTTGGCCGCCAAGCTGGCGCTGACTGCATTGCTCTTCGTAGATGGCTCTCGCTTGCGGGGGGGTCCATCGGCGGGAATAAGTTCGGAAGGTATCCATCGGCACGCGAATCTGGATCGAGTGGCTAGAGCCCACGTGGCGGCCTTACGGTGGAGCATGAGAAGACGTGGATCTCGACACCTGCCCTTGGAGAGAGACAAGATGAGCCCAATATTATCTCCCAATATCAACCACGAACGACCCCAATCTTTTGGATCCTGCACGGCCTGACGAATAGCTCCCAAGAAGCCTCGCGTCTCGGTGACATGTATCGGCTCATACGTGAAGACGGGTTGGAATCGCTCGACGGACCACGACGTAGACTCGACCACGTTCGCGGGCACCTCGGGGAACTCCCTATTAACGTAGACGTTGCTGAAATCGACCTCCTTATCTTCCCGGACTCCAGCCCCCAGCACCGAGACGTCCTTCAACGCGTTGGCGCGCGGGTTGAACCCTGCTGGGTCCTCGTCGTTCTTGAACCGCCATCTCTCATGCCACCTACCTGCAGACTGTACGTCTCCCACCGTCCAGGCCCCCCTTACTGTGGCGCGCCCAGACTCACATGCATCATAAGTCAGGACATCCTGGGACCATTTTGGATCCAGGTCCCGAGAGGCAAAAATCAGAAGCCCTTGGATCGAGCGGAGCTCGCGGAAAACGCTTTTCCAAAAGATCCTGGGCTCCTTAAAATTTCCTCGGGCAAAATCATAGCTAGCACGCAGACAACTGAGGAGTTCACGTTTTAGCAAGGCTACGAAGGTAAAATGGCCAATCAGCCGTTCGAGCTGGCGGCTGGTCATCGGCGGCCGCCGGCGATGGATCCACTCCAGCGCCTTCCAGAGCCTCCAGTACCGCTTGGCCGCAATGGCCACACGGCAAGGCTGCCCCTGCTGCGCGACGCCCAGCATCTCCATGCTCTCGGCTGCGTCCGACTCGTCATGGGTGGCGTAGCCCGCCGCCTGCAGCGCCTCACACGCCACTCGGCGCAGCCGCGTCACCTCGTCCCTGTCGCGGCCCTCGATCAGCACGTTGCCCACGTAGACCGTGTGCAGCGCGCCCTCCTCTGGCAGGGGCGGCGGCCGAAAGTCAATCAATCGCTCGACGTCGTGGCCCCAGCTCGGGTACTCCATCGAGCACGTGTTCATGAATGCGCTGAACGATGCACAGTGCCCACTTCCAACCCATGGGAACCACATTCATCAGAGGATAGAGCATGGTGTCCCCGGCAAGGTACTGCCCATCCAGCTGTGCGATGCCGACCTCGCTCGCCTTCACAGCGCCCATCCCAAAGTAGGGCTGCAGCCAGGCTGGCATACGGTGCTGGTAGAACGCGTTCTGGACGTCTCCCCCTGCATAGAAAAGTTGACGACCCTCTGGGACCTCCACCTCGGCGAAATTGCTGCCGGAGAAGAGGTGCACCTTGGGCGCGTCCACGAAGTGCTGGTTGCTGCGACGGCAGTCCATCACGATGCGGATCTTGCCGTCCTTCTTCTTGACGAAGAATATCTTGATGGCCTCCTTCCGACGACGCGCCAGGCGGAAGATCCCGCGGGCGAGGCCGTCCTGGATGAAGCCGATGTAGGCGCTGCGGTCCTCCTTCAAAATGGCATCGCCATGCAGTGTCGGCAGACCCTCGTCCTGCCGCACCTGCTGCACCTCGCGCGGCTTCCGCAGCCACGCGTCACGCTGGCCCTCTGTCAAGTACTGGAGCAAGTCCAGCGGCGCGTTGGTGGCCAGGGGCACGGGCGCGTTACCTTTGGCCGGCCAGCTGACCAAGTCGCGCGAGCAGGGCCGAACAGGGGAAGTCTCGTCACCATCAGTGTAGGTCGAGGGCGTGCTCCCGAGAAGCTCATCAAAGGCTTCCTTCGGAGTAAACGAATTCCCCGGCACGGGGGCGTGGGCCGAGTGCAGCGCCCGCGCATCACTGTAGATCACGGCGGAGGGGCCGCTCAAGTCGGTGACGGACTCCACCTCGGGCGTCTCAAAACCTGCCAGGCGGTTGATCGCGCGAATGGTGTCGCACGCGGCCTCCTGAACCTTCAAACGTCGACGAACTCTCTGCTCAGTGCCCCTCGACAATCGCGTGCTCCCATTGTCGTACTGCTCTACCCGTGGGCAAGCGAGGGGAAGAAAACCGCCCCCCTCCCCGGCAGCGGCATTCCGACGATGAATTGACCCCTTCTGCGTCCCGCTGCGGCCGGGGGCCTCCGCAGCGCTGCCTTCCCTCAGGGGCTGGCCTTGCCAGCACTTGACTTGCCTTGCTTGTTCTTCTTGGCGGCCTCCTCCTCCTCGCGAGCCTTCCTCCGTTGCTTCATCACCTCCGTCTCCTTGCTCTTCTTCTCCGTCGCGTACTGTGCCAGCGACGGGTTGAGCGCCACGCCGCGGCGCAGTCCTCCTGTCCTGTCACGGCCCAGGTAGTGCTCGATCCCCTCCAGCTGCAGCGTCCCGCTGGTCTCCCCCACCAGTTGGTACAGCCGCGCCAGCACCTCCACGCTGGCGAGGTTGCCGCCGTCGCACTGGTCGTAGCACACCGACAAGTCCAGCGCCAGCCCCGCCAGGTCGTGCATCAGGAAGGCCGTGGAGTCAGGCGAGATGCGCTGCTCCATGGCCCACTTCGTCTGCCGCGCGTCGAAGGTCCCGCCGTGGCCCCGTGCATGCTGGAAGAGCCACACCGCCGACCTCTCGCCCTCCAGCGGAAAGTCGTCCATTCGCTCCACCCGCATGCGAGAGACCGCCGCCGAGAACTCCGACCAGCGGCGTCCTCATGGGTCGTAGACGACCGGCGAGAGCACGCGGGCGTCGGCTCCATCCCCCGCGCCGCGCACCTCCTGGATGGCGGCCAGGCTGGCGGCGGGGCACGCGGTGACGACCTGGCCGTCGGGGAGCCTGTGAAGCGCCCGCTCGCCCATCACCTTGTCGCTGTCCGCCAGCTCGATCTCGTCCCCGCGCTTGATGGTGCCAAGCGTCTCCATGGACACACAGCGAGTCGAGCCCCTCACGGCCTCGGCATCCTCCAGGGCGGGAGGCGTCGCGGTGCCGCCTACCTCCTCCCGCAGGGGTCCCCCTTCGAGGTGGTCAGCTGCGGGCCGATCTCCAGGCGGCCACCCTGCAGCACTGTCCCCGATGGCCGGGGGCGGCTCCGGCGGCACCGGCGGGCCCTTGCGGCGGCGACGCACAGCAGCCTCAGCCACGGGCATCGGCTTACGCTCACCCAGAGAGTCCAGGTACAGCGTGTGCGCGGGCCTGTCGTGGCCCATCTCGACTGCCAGCTGTCCAGCCTCACGCAGACGAGCCAACAGGTCCTCCTCCCCAAGGTACTCCTTGAAGCGGTAGGTGCGGCCCCGCAAGAAGACGGGCAGCGCGCCACTGTCCTCCAGCACCACGGCGCGGCACGGGCCGTCCTCAGGGCTGGAGCAGAGAATGTTCTCGACGTACATGTCGTGGTCGGGTGTCTCGATCACCCAGTGCTGAGCATCCACTTGGCCTAGCAGCAATCTCTCATGCCACACGTTGTCATCGCTGTAGAAGACGGCCACATAGCCGCCAGGGAGGAGCTCACTCCAGAACGCCTCCTCCCCGACGGCGCGGCCGCTGGCCAGTCGGAGGGCTGCCGTCCCTCTCCACTGCGGCACGCGCAGGCTCGGATCCTCTGCGCCTGCCGCTATCCGCAGCGGTGGTCGGACGCGGCTGCTCGCCATCTTGGCGACGACGGGCACAGCACCTGCCAACGCTCACCACCAGGACGTGGCCCACGGCCGACCCCAGCACCTGCCACGCGGGCAGCTGCGACAGCTCGTGCTCGTCGGCCACCCTCACCACAACGCCCTCGCACCGGCACTCGCAGGCCGGCGGCTCGGGGCAGGGCTGAGGCTCCGGCAGGCTCAGCCATTCGGGCGGCTGCGAACACTGCTCCTCGCGAGCCGCGCCCGCCCCGGCCGCCGCGGCCGCGGCGATGGTGGCCGCCTCCGCGGCCTTGCGGGCGGCGCTCACCGCCGCCTCCACGCCGCTGGCGGCGCCCCAGCCAGCCTGAGAGGAAAAGCTGCAAGCGAAAACCCTCACTCACTTCCTGAATCCCATGCTAAAGCAAACCCAGGAGGAGGAGGAGGAGGAGGAGGAGGAGGAGGAGGAGGAGGAGGAGGAAGCATGCCAAAACACTGCTCTCGGGAATTCCACGCCACGGATCAACCTGACTGCTCCGTCGTCACGATTTGGAATCATGCCAGAACGCCACTTCAACACCACGAACCAACAGAACTGTTGCACCCGCATAATCCTGAGTTCTTTCAAAGCAGAACTTCTGGTACGCTGGTGATGGGAATCCGTGGGACTCTTGCAACCAATTACACCGAATGTGCGCGGCGCTAAGGAGAGAGCCACATTTCGAAAATGAACCGCCCTCAATCCGTGAAGCTCTTGCAACTTGTTAGAACAAATGTGCGCGGCGCAAAAGCGAGAGCCACAATTTGCAAACGGCCCGTGTGCGCGGCGCTAAGACGAGAGCCACATGTTGAAAACGACCCGCCCGTACTCTTGCAAGTTTAAAAACCGAATGTGCGCGGTGCTAAGCGAGAGCCACATGTTGAAAAGCACCTGCCCTCAGTCCGTGAAACTCTTGCGAATTAAAAAACAAATGCGCGCGGCGCTAAGGCGAGAGCCACATTTCGAAAACCACCCGCGCTCCATCTGTGAAGCTGTTGTCAAGTTTAAAGCTTCGAAGCCATACATGGAGAGGAAGTCTCAATCGAAACACCCGGCCCGCCCTAAAAACTGGCCTCGGGGTGCGACGGGGAGAAATTATTCATAAGGACAAGAAACGGAATGGATGAGGAGGAGGAGGAGGAGGAGGAGGAGGAGGAGGAGGAGGAGGAGGAGGAGGAGGAGGGGGCAGCCTGCGCCTGGGAGCGCCCAGGCGCTCACCCGCGGCATCGGCGATCGCTCCTGCGGGCGGGCCGCTGCTCGCGGCCCGAGGTCTCCTCGTGGCTTCTCGTGCCCCAGCCGGACAGGCACGAGGCGGTCTTCCTCCACTGCACACTCCGCGCCTCCTGCGGCTCCCGTTTCGCGCTCACTGCCTCTGAGCATCGTTCAACAGATCCCCATCCCCACTGGCATGGCCATTGGCTTCCCTGGCCGGCTTACCCGCGCAGGCGGGGATAGATGATACAAGCTTCCGCCTCCCCCTCCCCTGTGGCCCTCCCCCCCCCTCCGCGAGATGGGTCCGCCCACCCCCTGCGGCGTGCCTTGGTGGAACCCCACCACCTGTGGGCGTGGGGCGGTGATGGCTGCCCCCCTGTCTCCCCTTGTGAGAGTGTGGTGGTGCTGCGTCGTCGTCGTCGTCGTCGTCGTCGTCGTCGTCGTCGCCGACGTCGTGGCCGTCGTCGTCGTCGTCGTCATCGCTCGTCGTCTTCTTCCGTCGTCGTGATCGTCGGCAACTTCGGTCGTCGTCGTCCTCCGTCGTTGTCATCGTCATCGTTGTCGTCGTCGTCTTCCGTCGTCGTCGTCATCGTCATCGTCGTCTTCCGTGGTCGTCGTCTTCCGTCGTCATCTTCAGTCGACGCCGTCAACTTCAATCGCCGTCGTCGTCCTCCGTCGTCGTCGTCGTCATCGTCGTCGTCCTCCGTCGTCGTCGTCGTTGTCGTCGTCGTCGTCCTCCGTCGTCGTCGACTTCCGTCGTCGTCGTCGTCGTCGTGGTCATCGTCATCGGCTTCCATCGTCATCGTCGTCATCGTCGTCGCCAACTTCCGTCATCGTCGTCTTCCGTCGTCGTCGTCGTCGTCTTCCGTCGTCGTCATCGTCGTCATCTTTCATCGTCATCGTCGTCATCGTCGCCAACTTCCGTCATCGTCGTCTTCCGTCGTAGTCGTCTTCCGTCGTCTTCCGTAGTCGTCGTCTTCCGCTGTCGTCGTCGTCGTCGTTCTTACCTTCGTATCCGTCGTCGTCGTCGTCGTCGTCGTCGTCGTCGGAGTCCCCCCCTCTATCTCATGTGGGGGCCAGTCTCAAGAGAACCAGAACCTGGGACTTCTGCCATGTAGGGGGGGGCGAGGGCCTATCCCCACCTAGGAGGGTGGGCTGGTGAGACTGGAGACTGAGACACCACGGCCCAGTGGGGATGGGGAACGGTTAGACGATGCAGGCATCCTGCAGCTCTCGCCCCGCGCCCTGTGCCTTGGGTAGAGAAGCAAAAACCTACACGAACATCATTTCTCTGAGGTCCGCGCGGATTTGTTGGATGGCCGCTGGGCCCCCCCCGGGCGAGCGGAGCGCACCAGGGGCGGCGCCGGAGGTGGGCCCAGGCTAGACACGCGCGCTCCACTACTCGCCAAGGAGCTACTCGCAAATGGCCTTGATCTGCCGAAGGGGATCTACGATTTATCACACCGAGGCACACATGTGCTTTTAAAGACACTTGCGAGCACGCGCTTTGCAGTGGTACGCCCCCGGTGACAAGCGCCGACCCAAGAACTCCGCGCTGACCTCCGAGACATCTTGTCTCTGCGCCGCGCGCCGTCCCGCGCCCGTGGCCTCCTCCCAGATGAGCGCACCTTCTAGCAGTGAGGAGCCGTGCCAGCCCGGGCCGCCGCTGGCGCCCCAACGGCCGCGGGGCGCTCCTGGGGCCGCGCCGCCGGCGGAGCCGGGCGACGTTGCTCCGCCCGCGAGGAGCTCGCGGAGCTGCCGGCCCGCAGCCACGCGCGGGCTCCGCGAGCCCCCGCTGAGCGGCGCTGCGAGGGCGGCCCGCGCGGGCTCCTCGGGCGAGGTCACGGCCGCTGCCTCGCCGCCCGGGGCGGGCGGGCCGCGCGCGGCCGCCGCGCCCACGTCGAGGGCCTCGCCAAGGGCCGCCGAAGCCGTGCCGAAGGTCTCACAGACGGCCTGGACGTTGTCGTCGCCGTCGCCGTCGCCGTCGCCGTTGCCGTCGCCGTCGCGGTGGTCGTCGTCGTCGTCGTCGTCGTCGTCGTCGTCGTCGTCGTCGTCGTCGTCGTCGTCGTAGTCGGCCTGGACGGTGTCCCAGCCCTCGGCGACTGGGCTCTCAGGCTCCGAGGTGTGGCTCAGTGCGGCTTCATTGTGAGCGACGTCCCCGCGTGTGCTTTGACGCGCGCCGTGTGCGCGCTCAGTCCTGAGCGGCTTGTCGTGCTGAGTCTCCTGGTCCTCAGTCTCATCCCACAGGCCCAGCGCACTGAACATACCAGTGGCTCTTCTTCAGCGCCAGACGAAGAGTTTGGGCGCGCTTCTGGCGCCAGAAAAGCCGGCTGGAACCCTCCACGTGTAGCGCTCTAGCCAGATCGGCCAATGAGCCAAATTGGCTACTGATTGCGGCCTCCCGGATGCATTTTCAAGCCCCTTGAGCCGTCTGGGACTCTTCGGGCTCTCTCGAGGACCTCTTGCAGATACCTTGTGCCCATTCTTGAGGGCCGTCTGAAGCCCCTCGGGGGCCCATCGGAGTCATCTTGTGGTCATCCTGGGGAGCCGTCAGGGCCCCCAGTCGGTGCACCGAAGGCGTGACGATCGGGACGAAACGCACGAGGGCGAAAAGCACGTGCTTTTGTCTATACTTTGTCAGCTCTCTCGGGGGGCTCGCCTTAGGAGGCTTGGACATGAGCACCAGCACCAACACAGGGGGTTGCCTCCACCGAGGGAGGACGAGCCTAGATTTTGGTGTTGGTGGTTATACTTCGGCCACCCAAGAAGCCCCAATATGGCCACCATCGCCGAGATCGGGCTCATCTTCCCTCGGTGGAGGCACGCCGCCGATACTGGCGCTTGTGTTAACCTCTAGGCCTCCGACGCTTGGGCCATCAAGAGCCAATCTTGGGGTCACCTTCGGCCCCTTGGTGATCTCCAGAGAGCCTGTTCACGCGTTCTCGTGCCCTCTTGCCCTCTTGGGCTCTCCCAGCCAGCCCCTGAGGTACGCCACGTTGCCGAATGGTTTTCCCCCTGGGCCCTGCGGCAGGACTTCTGCCGAACTCTGCCAGAGCTTTGCTGGCGTCTGGCTCGTGGCGGCGGCAGGGCTTCGCGTAGGCGGAAAGGGCCAAAACCACCCCAGGGAGACTCAACGCCGCCCCCCCCCGACGGAGACTTGACTGACGGGCACTTTGGCCAGCGACCCGGTGAACCCAACCTTTCCCGATGCGGGCAACGCGGCCATGCCCGAAAGAGGCCCTGATTTGGCAACCCGCGGCGGGCTTCCAAAAAACCTGTTAGCAGAAAAACATTGAAGAGAAACTCTCCACAGGGTTACGGACCTCACACAAGCAAGTGCTTCATACTGAATTCATGTTGCGCAAACATGTTGCACTCTCCTCGGATGCAGCTTGCAAACTTCTTGGAGCGTTCACGGGGCTCGCTCGGGCCATCTTTAGGACAGCTTGGGGTCACCTGTGGCCCACTGGGACTATCACAGAAGTCATGGTGCTCTCTTCGGGACCCCGTGCTGATCTTGGAGGCGCCCTAGATGGCCAGATCAGCCCTCCTGGGTCCAACGGCAGGGTTCCGCCGACTTCCGCCAAGAGTTCCGCCGGCGGTCCCCGCGTTGCGACGGCCAGATTTCCCGCCCCCCCCTCCCCTGTGTCAGAACGCTGCACTGAAACCCATCCACGAGATCTGGGCGACATCTCAACCAGCGACCGTTTCATCCTCACCGCCCAGGAAAGTTAACGCCGCTGACGTTTCATGACGCGCCAATCTACAGACAAAACGGATAGTAATGATGCACGATAGAGATGCGAGCCCCTTGAACGCCCGTGTTGAAGCTTCTTCGAGCACGGCGAGCCATCGAAAGTAGTCAAGGACGGACCAAAGAGGCACGGATGCAAGGGTACCCGTGGGAAGGTTACCCATCCTCACCATCGGTTTCAACTGTAGCAAACGCTTTTCTCAAGGACATCACTGCCGCCGAGTATTCCACCATAGGGGGCCCGTGCCCGGAGCGGTGCCAAGCTCCTCGGCCAGCGCCGCGGGGAACCGCGTGCTCCCTGGTGTGGCGACCTCCGGGAGGTGGCACGGCAGACGAGCATCAGCGAAGAGGCCAGAGAAGAAGTTCGGCACGGCCCGAGCAACCATCGGGCACCTCCATCAAGACGCGGGGGATCCGACCGACTCCAATTGACTCTGGTCTCTTCCTCCTGACGAGGCACTTGGCTCAGTCGAGCAGCAACCTGGAGAAGTGGGCAGATGTAGGCCAGCCGCTCACGTGCAGACCGATTGTCGAAGAAGCTCCTGCAAGCGCGGGTAGCAGTGACAGGCTGCTCTTGGCCCGATGATGCCAAAAAACTCAAATAGTAAACCTGCCGAACGCGCCGACGCTTCCCGCGCCACGATTGTTCAAGGTAAGACGGGCCCAGCACCACTCGGCTACACGCAAGAGTGACCCCTCGCAAGAGAAACCTTTCGAGCGCGGTGTGCCTATGGTTGCATGCGGTGCGACGGCGGCGGCCTGATTGCCTGGGTTTGTCGGCTGCCAGCCCAGGGAGGTGGTGAGATGGGGCGGGCCTTCTCAAAGGTTCGGACTCCCCTGAACTTCTGAGAAGTTTTCTAAGCCTTCCCCGAAGGCACATAACACTTCTCACAGGGCCCGAAGGCTTCTGAGCAGCCCCGCCGCCTTCTGAGAAGGCCTGATCCTTGTCACTTCCCCCTTGGGCACGCCACGCTTATGGGGAAACCAACAGGTACCAATTCCGCTACTCCCTGGACCTCTCCTGGGGTGCGTCCTGACCAGAATTTCGGGGCAAATCCAGCGGTGGCGACGAAGGCCTCCCAGGAGGCCCACAAAGGCGAAGACGAGGGAAGGGTAGTGGTATCGGTACCTTTTCCTCCTCTGAGGTTTGTCCCCTCCCCCCCCGCGCCCTCCGAGCGCCGCGCACGTGGTATCGGTACCTGTTCCTCCTCTGAGGTTTGCCCCCCCCCCCCCCCCCCCCCCCCCCCCCCCCACCCCACCCCCAACGCCCTCCGAGCGCCGCGCACCAGAGGCCACTCCGGCAGAGGGGGGGGTCGCTTGCACGGTGCCGCCGAACCACCTCTCCGGGCTCTGGGCAAGGCACCCCTGGCCTTTCGGGGGCCGTCAAAGAGGGGGGCGTCCAAGAGGGGGGGGCGCAACTCGTGGCCGGCGGCACGTGCGCGGCCCAGGGGGGGGGGGCCAGGAACGCCATGAAATAGGAAGAGGCGCCATGACATCTGAGCAAATATCATGGCCCACGCCATGATATCCACCCCCCTGGTCATTCCCCCCCTCTTTGCCGCCCCCGAGCCTTCCCCGCCCGCCGACCCTGGGATCCCTGCTGCCCCCAGTGTCGGGCACGGTACCCCTAGCGCCTACAGTCAACCCTCATCATAAGGATGCGCCGTAAGGCCCTGGAGGCCCTTGTGCACGTTTTCTGAACGAGGCTGGACAGCGCAAGTCGATGAGGATGGGCCGAAGGGGCAATGATGCAAGGGTGCCCTTGGGAAGGTTGCCCATCCTTACTATGCAGGTTGACTGCAGGTGATCGCGCTTCGCACGTCGGGGCTTGGGCTGGAGAGGCGACCTTCTCCAGAGCGGCGGCGCGAGAGTTCGAGGAAATCCGCGCGGCGCGCATCGCAGAGCGCGGTGCGCGAAGTCATGTGACCTGATGGGCGCGCTGCACCCTGCGATATACACAGACACCCTCCGACGAATATTGCGTGTACCTCCAGGGAGGGCGGCGGTGTGGAAAATCGCTGGCTGTCAGTGGTGATTTCTACAACGCTACCCTGTCCTGAGGCCTAAGAGCAATCCATTGGAGGGTGTATGTGTGAATCTATCAATGTGTGTGGCGGAACCCCCTTTTGCACGCTTTCCTTCCCCTCCTGACTCCCCCTCCCCTCGGGCTGGCCCGACGGGGACTCGGGCTCGGGACACTCGTGCTCGAGGATCACGACGAGCCCCAATCTGAATTGTGGCGCGAGCTCCTGCATCAAAAATCTGCTGGCCCGGGTCAACCCAGACCCTGGTCAGTCAGGCTTTGCAAGATCTTGCAAAATTTTACAAGAGCCTGCAGCCTGCAGAATCCTGCACCCCAATCCGAGTCAATGCGCCCATGGCCCTGCAATATCCCGCAAGATCCAGCGCTCTGACTGACCCCCGTTTGCACAACCCCCCGTCTCTTGAGCCCCGAATCGCACGACAACTGGACCGGCAGAGTCCCGGACGGGCTCATCGAGCAGCGTCGGCAAACCCGAACTCCGGCGAACTCGAGTCATGCGCTTCCCCGACCCTCTCTCGGGATGCCGCCCCCGCTCCTCCACAGGAGGAGGAAGGAGGAGAAGGAGGAGGAGGAGGAGGAGGAGAAAAAGGAGAAGGAGGAGGAGGAGGAGAAGGAGGAGGAGGGGAAGGAGGAGGAGGAGGAAGAGGAGGACAAGGACGAGGAGGAGGAGGAGGAGGAGGAGGAGGAGGAGGAAGAAAAGGAGGAGGACAAGGACGAGGAAGAGGAGGAGGAGGACGAGGACCTCCTCATCCTTCCTTCTCCGCCTTCTCCCCGTCCTACCTATGGTGGTGGTGGTAGTGGTGGTGGTGGTGTTGGAGGTGGTGGACGTGGTGGTGGTGGTGGTGGTGGTGGTGGTGGTGGTGGTGGTGGTGGTGGTGGTGGTGGTGGTGGTGGTGGTGGTGTGGTGGTGGTGGTGGTGGAATGTCGGCCCATCACATCCCACGGCAACGCGTCTCTGGCAGCGTGGGCGAGCCCTGGCTGGCGGGGCCTAGCCAGCGTCGGCGCCAGCGCGGCCGCCGCGCGAGCGCTGGCGGGGCACGCCCGTGACCGCGCCACTCAATGGCCCCGCCAGCTGCCGCGCGATCGCCGCTCATGACGGCCCCGTCCCGCCGCCGTTGTCCACCTCCGCGGGCTTCGGCGCGAGCTACACAGGGGTCGCCGACGCACTCGTAGGTGACTGGGGGCCTCCCAGCCCGCATATGGTTGAGGCGCGTCTTGGCGTTCTTGTCGCCAGGCTTGGCCATGCACCTCTCAGCTAGCAGCGATGTCGGGCCTTCAGCTGCGCGCGCTCCGCAGGCGCTGCAGAAGACCACGTTGCTCGCGACCATGAGCACGTGGCTGGAGTGCGCCTCCTCCACGGCCACTGGCTGCCCTCTGCGCAGGCCGCCCTCGAGGTCCTCCTTGAATATGGCCCGCGTGCCATACCTGTCGCAACCATATGCCAGCGACGCCGAGCAGCCCAGCCATTGGGCGGGGTGTCGCAGTGGGGCCGCAACCGCCTCGACAGGCCGCACGTCATCTGGCGCGAAGAGCTGGGGCCCCGTCTCACGCTGGAGTCTGACCGCCACGCGCCTGCCGAGGCCGCTTAGCGCCTCGAAGGTCCTGCCGTCGAACTGGCTGGTCACCGCCCTCTCGGCCGCTAGCCTCGCCTCGTCGGCCCTCGGCCTCTTGTCCGCCGCGCGCCTGGCCTTGCCGCTCCCGACGTAGAGCTGGCGGCGGCGCGGCGGCGCCTCGGGCCGAGGGGCCCGAGCGTCTTCGCCGTCGGAGCCGCCTCCATCGTCAGCCTGCTTGCGGGGCGCTCCCGAGCTGCATCTGCCGCCCAGCTCGCCGCCGTCCTCGCGCGTGTTCCGCCGCTGGCACCCTGGCAGAGCGCGCCGGGCCTCTGGCAGCCGCGGACCTGTCCCGCTGCCAACTACAAGGGGGGCCCTGGCCCCGCGCGCCACAAACCTTCCTGAGGTCCCCAGCCACGCCTCGCGCGACGCCCTCGCCGTCTGTCTGATAGTAGCCGTCGTCGCCGCAGTCCCCGTTGTCCTCGTGGCCCCGCAAGCGTGCGCTCCAGGCGGCGGCTGCCAGCGCAGCGGCCGCCGCCAGTCGTGGAATCCCCCGCGCCTGCTCGCCGCTGCCGCCGGGGTGCGCGTCGTGGCCGCGGCGCGGCCCAGGTCCTTCAGCGACCAGGGGAGGTGCGTCTGCGCCAGGTAGCCGACGCATCGTGGCCCTCAGCGCCCTGGGCTCGGCGCTGCGCCACTCGGCCACGGCTGACCACTCGTCCTCGTTCCCCCCCGAGGTACTGGAAGAAGCGCCTCCTCCTGACGGCGCCGATCTCCCCGGTTTCCTCGCCGATGTCGCGGGCGACCTGGCCGAGGGGCTTCTTCCCGAAAAGGACGGGGTGCTGGCGCCACCCCCTCAGTGAGCGAAACGGCGGCAGGCGCAGCATGGTGTTCAGACAGGCCTTGCACCAGTCTGTGAAATCTGCCCTCGGCATTCAGGCTTCCCCTCGCAGGTCGCTGATCCACATCGTTGCCCATCTTGGGGTCTCGCGCCAGGTCTCGGAATAATTGTCAGCGCGTGCTGGCACCGTGTAGGGCGGTTTGCACATGTCGTTGGGCTGCTGCTCGCCGTCTGCCTGGGCCTCGACGCAGTCCTTCGGTGCTCGCAGGCCCCGCGATGCCTGGCGCGGCAGCTTGGCGCGCGCCGCCCCCTCCAGCCCCTCGCGCCAGCCAGCGTGCCTCCACATCAGCGCCCCCTTGCTGTCGCGCGGCTCGCTGTTCGCCCGCGCGCTCGCCCTGGCCGGCCAGCCTGCCATCTTCTCGACGGTCTCGCGCTGGTCTGCGTGCCTGGCCTCGCACGACGGGGTGCTGGACTGGCGACAGCCTCGAAGTCCCCGGCAGCCAACCAGGCCCCACATGTTCCTTGGGACAACGAAATAAACGAGAAGCGTGCCCACCCCCTGCCAGCACGATGGGCCATCTGGCACGGCCAGCGGCGCCCGGGCAAAAAGTGCCCGCGCCCACGGCGGGAAGGCGACGCAGCGCGATAACAACCCCAACTAAGAAATGCCCTTGCTTCGCCCCCCCCCCAAAAAAAAAAACAGCGGAAGCATCCACATTTTGCCCCTGGCCTTTGGCCTGCCGCCGAATCCCGTCAGCTTTGAATTTAGGAGAAGGGGTGCACACGCTGGTCCGACGTACTTTATTAACTCAAGGTCTTGGCGAGGCACGCGTGGGAACTTTCAGTCCACCCACCGAAGGCCCCGCTAAGCTTGCGCAGCCGGCCGATGTCGAGGCCCTCGGGCGGCGTGTCCCAGTCCCCCATAACTACCCAATGAGAGCCGTGGCTCTCAAGGCGCGCGGTGCACTGGGCAAGCTCCAAGACGATGGCCAGGTCGGCCGCGGCCACCCCTGCGGAGACGTGAAGGCACGCGCTGATTACTGACACCCCACCTTTGGGGCCTGCACGCGCGCGGGCCGACAAGAGGCGACCTAGGACCATGTCGGCCTTCTCCCTGACAGGTGGTTAAATGATCTTCGCGCGCAAGGGCGCCAACACGGCCGCCCCCCTGAGGCGCCGCGGCTGCTGGTAAACGTTCGAAGCACGGGGCCCCGCAGACAGTGAACCCTGGTCCTTCGAGGCCGTCAGCTGCGTGGGGATGTCCTCCGAGAGGCGGTGATGCTCCTGCACCGCAATCGCAGGCGCGCCAGGCCCATCCTGAGCAGCGAAGTAGTCCCCCAGGGCCCCCCCCCGAAGTAGCGCTCACCGTCGCAAGGAAGCCGCGCCCTCGGGGCACGGAGGACAGGTTCCACAGGCTTCCTCGGCCGCCTCTGTCTGCCTGACAGCCCCAAGGGAATGAGCACCCCTTGCCACGCCGCCCGACAAAGAAGCGCAAACTCCATTTGCAGGCATCCCTGGAGAGACGGTTCCAGGGGAATGCACATTCCTGGCCACGCCGTCCGCAGATACCGAACCGAGCTCACGAGTCACCCCTCCCATTCCGACAGCCCCAGGGGATCGCGCTTCTCTGGCCATGCCGCCAATGCATGAAGAATCCCGCCCAACTGCAGGGCTGCCCGAACCGACGGCCCCAGGCGAATCCACGACCCTGGGCACGCCGCCTGTCGCCGCCGTACTCGTAAATCAACAGAAAGGCAACCCCATGTCCGAGGCAGCCTGCTCATCAACCTGGAGGTCTCTGTCGACGAAGCCCTCCTTGTTTGCAGGGCTCAGAAAGAGGGGGAGGACCAAGTCGTTCCTTGAGCTTGGCGAACCCCTCATCTTCGAAGTTCTTGGAGGCGGCAAGCAGCGCGTCCACCTCTGCGAGCCCGGCCTTGCAAGCAGACGCCAACCCCGCCCCCAGCTGCACGGCATGGCACCAGAGCCCTGTTGCCCGGCTGTTCCCCCTGCGGCAGCAGCCTGTTTGAGCTTGGCCGTCTCCACCTCCAGGGCCTTGTTGCGCTGCACCAGCTGCTTGCCCGCAACCCCGCGCGCTCTGACGGAGGGGCTCGCGGCCTCTAGCATGCCGGCGAAAGTCGCCGCCTTCGGGCTGCCGCCCTTGAGGCAGGCCTTGCGGTGAGAGAAATTGACGAATCGATTGCCCTCGGAATCGGGCCCAAAGCAGGTCTTGCAAGACCACTTCGCGCCCGCCGCGGCCGACCGAACTCCGAACCCTCCCAGGGGACTGCGGGCTCCGCCCCGTCCTCGTTGCCGTTGCCGCCGCCCTCGGACCGAGCGCTCACCCACGAACAGTTGGCGGCGAGCACAGGGAGGTAGGGGGAGGGAGGAAGGCTTCTAAGAAGCAGGAGTGTTTCTAAGAGGCCTTCCCCCTCCCCCATACCCCCTCTGCGCGGGGCCGAAATAGGCTGAGTAGCCGAACTGTCAAGCAGCACGAGCTCCTCACCTGGCGCAAAGCGCGAGACCCCTCGCGCTCCAGGAACGCCCTCGAGGGACTCGCAGTCGTCGGGTGTCGCATGGCTTTAAACCAAAATTGCTGCGGAGCCTTTTTTCCATCTCTCTCTCTCTTTCTCTCTCTCTCTTTTTCTCATGTTCCTCTTTCTCACTCTTTTTTCCCGTATTAGGAGCCCCGGGAGCCTCCAGGGGTCTGAGGGCCTTGGCCACAACTGGAGCATCACAACTCACAACACAGTCCCATGGCAACCTCACCGCGCCCGTGAGGTGGACCCCGAGATCCTGCCTTGCTCGGAAGGGCAGCGCACAGGACAATCATATACATCGAAAGCCCGACAGGCAAATCGCCAGAGCCGCGCGACAATGACCAGCGGCTGGGACCTCCACAGCATATGCGCAGTTCGAGGGGGAGCGAAAGAAGAGGGGAGGAACAAACAGGCTGGCAAACATTGAGCTGCGTACCCGAGACACCCCAGTCGAGTACAAAAAACAGCCGCAAGAGAGGAGGTCCACGGCGATGGGTAATGCATCCCAGGTGGCCCGAAACGCTGCAAGACCTACAACCATCACTGACATGGACAGGAACGCAAGGAGGTGAGAAGGCGAATCAGCAATACCTGTACAGCGCCTCCTGCCGAAACAGAGGGGCCAGGCCAATTGCGGCCGACATCGATGCCACAGATCCCGATCAAATAACTCAACGAAACACTCGACAGAAAGGTGAGCTGCGCCAGCCCGAATGGGGGGGGCAGCTCAAGCCCGCGCGGATGCCAACCGCGAGTTCCCGGGCAAGACGGGGCGAAACGTCCGGCAAATAGTCTTGGCGGGACGCCGGCTCCGCCCGCGCGGAAGCGACGGGCCCGCGGGCAGATGGCGCGCGCAATCAAGAGAACCCCACTCCTTCAGCGCAGCGCCTCCCTGGGGGAAGAAAAAACACACCATGCCAGACATCGTGCAAGTAACAGCGGCGCAACATCACCAGCGGCGACAGCCAAGAAGGAGGGGGGGAATCAAACGGAGGCGACGCCCATGACGATCGCATCGGCTTGGACGGGTCTTCCGCCTGGCCCGGATAGGCTGCGCGACATTTCAAATGGGGAGGAAAAAAACGAGGGAAGAGGAGAGACACGGGAAACCCTTGAAACGAATCAACCAAACTGTGCGGCACGCAATGCATTGGCACTGCAACAAGACGCGCGCAACCAGCACACTCCGTCTTGGTTGAAACCTGAGGTCGCCACCTCGGTCGCCGCCCCCGCGGGGGGCCACAAGCCCGAGGAAGACAACGGACCACCCCGACGACGACGACGACGACGACGACGACGACGACGACGACGACGACGACGACGACGACGAGGACGACGACGACGACGAAGACGACGACAGGCGACGGCGACGACAACGGCGACGGCGGCGACGACAGGGGAGGGAGGAGCAGAGGGCGGCGAGGAGGAGGGGGAAGGGCGGGGAAAGGCGAGACGAGGGAAAGAGAAAGCGGGGGGGGGGAAGGAAAGGGGGAAGGCGGGCGAGGGGAGAAGAAGGAAAGGCCCTCTGCCTCCCCCAGGCGCGCGGCCCCCCCAGGGGGAGGCTTGTGGCCGGTGCCTGTCGGCACCCCGCCGAGAGCTTTCGGGCCCTGGCCGCGTGGCCAGCGGCCACGCCCAGCGCGCGCCGCGCGTTCCGCTTCAACGCGCCTGGCTGGCCTGGCCGGGCCTGGGCCCTCGGCGGCGCGGAGGAGGAGGCGGAGGAGGAGGAGGGGGGACGCGCGAGGCAAAAACGTCACTCGAGGCTGCGCGCCACTTGTCCCAAACGCCCGCGTGGAGCCGCTCTGCCCCCGCGTGGCCGGCCACGGCCTCGCGCAGCGCCTGCTGCAAGGCCCGGGTCGCCACGTCGACGGCGAAGCCGCCGTTGGCCCTTGCGGCGTGCGTCGTGCGGTGCGCGGCGTAGGCGCCAAGAGCCCCCAACGCCGCCGTCTCCTCCTGCTGGGCATCGCGCGCCCCCAGCCATGTGGGGGGCAACCAGTCCTCCCGCAGCCGCAGCGATGCGGCGTGGAATAAGGCGACGAGATCTATACATATCCACTGCTCCTGGCCAAGCCCATCCTGGGTCCAGGAGCGGTGTATATGTCCCCCTGGCTAGGCCACGAGGGCGCATGCACCGCTCCCGGGCTCAGGATGGGCCTGGCCAGGAGCAAGTGGATATGTATAGATCTCGTAGCCCTAGTGGAAGCGCCAGATCGCCCTGCCGCGGCTGTAGTGCTCCACGCTGTCCTGGGCTTGTCCCCCGCACCCCAGCTGGCAAAAGTTGTGGATCCCCATCGTGTTTTTGAACCGACGGGCCGTGCACCAACGATTCCAGCCAGTGCTAAAGACAGCGGCGACAACTCGCGGCGTCACGAGGCGACGGAGTCGCTGCAATGTAAGCTCGAACCGCTCTGCTATGATCCTCGGCGTGCCGGGCAAGGCCCACTGGTCGAGCTTGTGCCGGATTCGAATGCGCGGCGGGGTCCTCTGGGTTTGCTCGATCGGCCCCCGAGCAGCCGCCTGGAAACGGCGCCCCCCCGTAGCGACGAGCCGCCCCACGTGGTCAACGGTGACCCCGCTGGTGGCTAGCTGCGCCACTGTGCCCAGCAAGACCTGGGGCATCGCAGAATCGAACCGCCCTGCCCAGGCCGCCCCCCTGATCAGGTAGCTGGTCGCGCCTCTGGCCGTCCTGGGCTGGAGCGCCTTGCCATCCAGCTGCAGCCCCCCATGGGCACTGTTTTCACAAAAGAACACTCTCATCTGAGCAGCGCGCGCCACGACCTCGAGCGACCCGAAAGAGCAAGGCATGTCGAAGTGTTCCCTGAGGGGCCACAAATCGCTCTGCACGCACCAGAAACCAGGACCCGGCGCAGCCCGCCGCGTCGCCCACGCTTCGGCGAGAAGCGCCTCCTGGGAGGGGAGCGCCGCTTGGGCGATAAATGGTAATACTGGCAAGGCGTATGTGTCGCACGGAACCGTAGCGAAGTGGAGCCCCATCTCGCTCCAAGTCCAGCCTTCCACCCGCTCCCGGAATCGCTTCACGGCCGTATGCCAAATTTGCCCCGCTCTGCCCCGCCCAACGGCGCAGCCCAGGTCGACTGCAGCGCGCTTCAGGGGCAGGCCAGCCCACGCCGGACAAGCCTCCGAGACGACGGCGGAGGCGGCGTCCAGCGTGTCCTCCCACAGCGGGATGCCGACCGTCTCGGGGAGGTTGGCAACCATGCCAGACAGATCACCAAACTCAGAGAGGGCTTGCTGCAGGATCGGCAACTGCCTCCTCATGTCTGCGAGCACGATGCCAACGTCGTCCGCGAAGGCCCTGATCAGCACCTCTGGCCCCGGTCTGCGGCTCAGCACGCGTAGGAGCAAATCCATGGCGGCCGCGAAGATCAACGGTGAGAGGGGGCACCCCTGCCGGATCCCCGACCGCAGGGCGAAGCCGGGCCATCGCGAGACCGCGCACTGCCCACTGTCGTACAGCGCGTCGAGCACGCGCAGCGCCCCGTCTGGCATGCCGAGCCCTTCCAAGCACCTGCGTAAAAAGCCGCGCGAAACGCTCGGGAACGCGGCCCTGAAATCCACGAGGACCATGATCCCTTCTGGCTTTGACAGTGCTGTGAGCATTGCGTGGCGCTCGAGCTCGGTCACGTTGGCGAGCATCGACCGGCCAGGCAGAAATCCTCGTTGCGCCTGTGACACACATTGGCCCAGTGGCGATTCCCAGCGCTGTTTGCAAGCGGCTGCAATAAGCCGGTTCGACACATCGACCAAAGAGAGGGGCCGCGTGCTTTCTGCCGTGTACACGTCCCCCAATTCTGGGCGCTGTTCCACCGGCTTCTTCGGCATGCAACACAGGATGCCCAAGTTGAAGGTGTGGTCGCCCGTCCCTGCCCCACCCGGCTCGTCCGCGTAGGCAGCTCGTAGGTCTGCTATCGCCGTCGGTATCCACAAAGCGCGCAGAGTTGAAGAGGACGTCAACTGCCAGAGGGCCAAGCTTTTTCCATAACGACACGCTGATACCATCCGGCCCTGGCGCGGAGGGCTGCGACTGGTCCAAAGCAGCTTCCACGTCTTCTCGCCGAACCTGCCAGCGGCTGGACTCGGAGGACAATCCTGCGGGACCGTCCGCGCTGCACTCTTGGAGCCAAGACTCCAACTTGTCTGCGTCGACATTCCCCGCGGCAAAAACCTCGCTCCAATGACGGGCCAACTCCCCGGCCATAGCCTCTGGCGAAGTGGCGATGACGCCTTCCCGTGTTTTCAGCGCGCGCAGGCTGGCCCCAGCTCCTGGCTTGAGTCTCCGGATGTTGCTTGCTTGTCTCGCGCCGCGCGGCTGCAACCTCCGCCGGCAGCTGCGCTGAGACCCAGCTGAGGTCGTGCAGGTCCTGGCGGATGTCCTCCCGGGCTAGCTGCAGCCCTGTCGCGCAAGACTTGGAGAGCGGCCCGCCCCAGGCGAAGGCGGCCTGAATCTGGGCCCCGTGAAGCAGGCCTGGGTAGTCGTCAATCGGACGCTGAACGGCGATCCACCGGCCGTCCTCGACCGCGCGCAAGCACCGGATGGCGCATCCCAGCCTGTACGCGGGCGCGGTGGCAGCTGCCGTCCGCCCGTCCTTGTTCATCTCCAGGCTGATCGTGATCATCGCCCGCTTGAGCAGCAGGAGTTGCCTGTGCTCCGTATCGGGTTGATCGTCCTCCCCGCGGAGCTGGCGCCAACGAAGCGCCACCTGCTGAGCCCATTCCGGCCGTCTGGAAGGCCCCAAGGGCACTGGACGTGCCTCTCCGGCGCTCCTGGTCGCGGACCTCTGCGCCACCTCCAGGGGGCGGTGTGCCGAAAGATGCCGACTCCAGTCCAGAGCCGCACATGACCATGTTCTGGTGAGCTGATCTGCTACGTGGACGTTGACGTACGCCCGGTCCAGACTCGAGGACCCCTGAGAAGTCCAGTGCGTGTGTTCTGGCTGTCGTACTTCGAACAACCCATTCGGATCGAAGAGCGCGTTCTCAAAGTCTGTGTGCTCGCGCTCGTCGTCCCCATCTGTCCACGCTCTGTCATTCTCTCTCGCCCGCCGCCGTGACATCACGCTGTGACATCACGCCGTAACACCCTGCGGGGCCGTCCGGCGGAGGTCGGTGATGCGACACCACGCCGTGCAGCCCGCGGCCGGGGACGTCCCGAGACGATGTCACGCTGTGACATCACGCAGTGCAGCCCGTGGCCGGCGACATCACGGTGCGGCATCACGCTACGACATGACGATGTGGCTGCCAAGGCTAAGCGAATCCAATCCCGCAGGTCGGCGTCTTCAATTGCACGGTTTGGACATGCCCTCGCCCTGGAAGCCCGAGAGCTCACAAAAGCGTACGACAGAAAACTGGAGGTGGAAGATCAGGCGCGTCGCAACGGATCAGCAGTGGGCCGAACGACTCCAGCCCCTAGACCAATCACATAGCGAAACGCATCAGGCACCTGAAGACGAGGATGCACGGGAGCCTCCTCCTCCTCCTCCTTCCCCTCCTCCTCCTCCTCCTCCTCCTCCTCCTCCTCCTCCTCCTCCTCCTCCTCCTCCATCTCCTCACCTCCTCCTCCTCCTCCTCCTCCTCCTCCTCCTCCTCCTCCTCCTCATGATCATCAACACTTCCCCTCCTCCTCCTCCTCTCCTTCCTCCTCCCCTCCTCCTCCTCCTCTCCTCCTCTCTCCTTCTCCATCTACCTCCCCTCCTCCCTCCCTCCCCCACTATCCTTCCCCCTCCCCCCCTCCCCGGCCCCGCCTGGGTCTCGCAGGGCTCAGAGCCGGGCAGCGCGAGTACGTGCAGGTCGTTCTTCCGCTCGCCGTCGTAGCCGCCGAAGACGAACATCTGCCCGCTGAGCACGGCCGCGCAGTGGAACGTGCGGGCCTCGGCGATCCGCCGCCGCGGGCGGTAGTGTTGTTGTGCGCGTTGTGCTTGTTCCATTCTCGAGGCCTCAATCCCCAATTAGTGCCTGCACTGAAGGGGTCCTAGCGGATATTCCCCAATCAGTGCTTGCACTGAGGGGGTCCTGGCGGAGGTTAAAGGAGTTGGCGAACGTTTCCTACCGATGTTGGTCGCACGATGGGTTCCCCGGCTCCCAGTTCCGGGTTCTCGGGTGCCCGGTTCCCGGGCCGATTTCGGTGGGCGGCGAGTTTCCCAGATTCCTGGGTTCCTGGTCGATCTTCTTATCGATCGGTCTCAGCATCGATCTCATTTCCCACCTCTCTATCGATCTCACCATCGATCTCACAATCGATCTCACAATCGATCTCGCAAGCAATCTCACTAGAGAATTGCACGAGCGATCTCGCGATCGATCTCCCTATCGATCTCATTTAATCGATTTCATTATCGGCCTCACGATCGACCTTACAATCGTCCTATATCGATTATACAATCGATCCCATTATCGATCTCAAGATCCATCTGACTAATTTTCAAATCATCCACAGATTGGGTTTTCTCAGGTGTAATTGAAACATTTGGCGAAAAAAATCCCGCCGATGTTAGTAGCCAGCTGGGTTCCAGGATTCCCGGTTCCGGGCTCCCGTGTTCCAAGCTTGCAAACCACCCACTGATTGGGACTGTTCTCCCTGGTGTAATTAAGTCACACGCTGGACGGCCAAGTGCCTACTGCAAATCTGAGACTCCTCACAGCCTCGACCGCCTCCTCCCGCGCAATCAATCGGCCCTCGACTGCGAGGGGAGACGTCGGATCACGAACAGAGGCACCTGCCATGATGATCGGTGCCGGCAGCGCATGGCCTGCCCTGATGTGTTCTGCCTGGTGGCGCTGTCCCTTCGGCTGGAGGTGTGTGCGGCCTGCCCTTTGGTGGCACTGCCCGACGGCACCCCTGGCACTGCCCGATGCTCGGAGCCCCGCTTCGGAGGCCTGGAGCAGCGGCGCCGCGCCGGCCCGGGGCCCGGGCCGACGGTCGAGCCCCCGCGACGGCGACCTCGGACCACATCTCCCGCTCGATGTTGAACTCCCACAGGTCGTCGTAGCGCTTCCGGGGGTGGGGGGTGGTCGGCGTCCCCCGCTCTCCTCCCGCTTCCTGCGCCCCTGCCTTCTGACGCTCCTCCTCCTCGTCCTCGTTCTCCTCTTTCCTCACCTCGCCCTTCACCGGGTCCCCCCAAGTTGGTGTATTGCCTTTCCGACCACCTAGAACCACGCAGAAGCCCTCGGTACCCCATCGCGAACCTGTGGGTTGTCCCACACCCTACTCCCCGTCATCCTCGCCCAGCATGAGCAAGGAGCGGGTGGGGAGGGGCGGGGGGGGGAGCGGAAGGGCAACTTACGGCTCCACAACATTACGACAAGCAGCCAAACCGACACAATCCTCTTCCTCCTCCTCCTCCTCCTCCTCCTCCTCCTCTTCCGCCGCAGCCGCGGCCGCCGCCGCCGCGCAACGCTATGCCTGCGATCCCAAGTCCGCGGCGCGCGCCGCTCGGCGCCCCGCGGGGCAGCCACCGCGCACGACGCGGGCGGGCCCCACCGGCAACCGCCTGTAGGACGTCGTTTCCGTTTCGAGGATGGGGGAGACGGGGAGGTACGTCCAGCGAGTTGAGCAGGCAGGCTGGTGGAACTGGAATCGATTGACCATGTAGATCTCCGATGGCCTGCGAGGAATTTCATAATGTCGTGTGAGCATAATACTGAAGCCGCGCAGAAATCTGATGGTCACGCGCGTGTCTCCTGGTACCAGTTGCCGCTCAAGCATGGAACTCCATCCTATAATAGCCTGCATGGCGCAGGCCTGGAAGCGAACCTGCGCGGCACTGCCCGCCGCCGCTGAGTCGTTGTCGGCGCCCCTCTTGCGCTTGTTGACGATGCCCTTGAAGTTGATGACAAGGCGTTGCCGGTGAACTCTGCGATCACGTAGGGCGGCGGTTTGGCGCCCGCCCCCCGGGCGCCCGGCGGCGCGTGCTCTCCGTCTGGTCAACGCAGCCCGAGGAAGTGGTGGATCTCGGAATTCTCGAGCGGTTTGAATGAAGCTGGTTCGTGGAGCACGGCCCTGGACCCTCTTTATGCGTAGTCGTAGACCGCGACCTGGTCGAGGTCCTTCGCCTGATGATCGAACGCTTCCTTATCGCTGATCTTCATCTGTATGACCCACTTCATGGCGCCCGCTCTCATGATGGAGTTCGTGCACGCGGGAAGGGCGATCGCATCGTCGATTTCCTCGGGATATCTTTGACGCGCGCGACCTCTGGCTAGGGGTTCACGTCAAGGTAGAGGTGCCATTGGCGGGGCGCGAGAAGCCGTCCCGCTGCGTAACAGTGCACTTCGAGTCGCATGGCACCTGGCCTCTGGTCGATGGTGAACACGCCGTCGATGTGCTCTCCAGAACATCGGTAAAGAAGGTCAGCAACTGGTCGCTGCGGCGCGGAATGCAGCGCCGCACTGCGTGCGACGTTGTAAATACGACAGTAGACATCTTCCTTATCGATCTGGGTGGCGAAACGTGATGTCGCAAGCCTTCGCACGGACCTGTATCGCTTGATTGTTGTCTGGCGACGACGGGGCGCAGATGCCGACCTCCATGTAGAGGGCGTCGTTTGGCGGTGCCGCAGGTGGTCTCCTTGGCGTAATTCTCAGTCGCGGCCGCCGCGTCTACCTTTCGGTTCTCTAGCTGGCCACGCGCGGTAGTTGACACTGTGTAGCTGGTAGACAATGTATCCAAAGTGCTGTGACTGCACATATGCGAACATGAGCTCGTAACGTACCATACACATGTCGGAATTGGCAGGCCGAATGCACGCGCAGTAGTACGTGTCCCGTGGTGTTCCCGCTGTAAAATGTAATCCTCGCTGCTAGGCTTTCAGGTGCTATGACGAGCTGGACGGGGTAGTTGGCGCGGATGGCGACAATGGTGGATCGGCTCGACTATTCCCTAAGAGCGTTGGTAGCGGCCCTCGGAGTCCGCACAGCCCGGCATGTTCGCGCGGGTGGGCACTGGCTAAATCCATCCGGCACTCGCCCCATCTATCTGCATCCGCCCTGGGCGGCGTAGGCGCTGCTGGCCTGGGCGAGGGCGCAGGGCAGCCCCGCGCGGCGCGGGGGCGCGGGCCTCGCTCCCGGGAGAAGCTTTGCCATATGATGCGCGTCCGCATCCTGCGCACCAGGAACCATGGAAGTAGGCGCGCGCCTCAGGTGTCATAGCCGACGGTCGTGCCAAGTCGTCATCTGCAATCTCCTTAGTTGGGCTTCGCCTTGATGACGTAGATCTTCAGCGGTGCCATGTCGGCCATTGTTGCCTCAGTGTCCCGTCCAGCGCGATGTTGATGCATCTGTCGTTGCTGATTCAGCGGCGTGTAGAGCCTGTCCAGCTGCTCGTGGACGCATGCTGGAACTGAGACAGTTTGTAATAACACCATCCTCAGTGCATGTTTGATGATACGGCTCAAGAGCTAAGCATCGCTCAGGAGGGCACCGTGGTTCTCCATTCGGCCAAGTGTTGTTCATGCGGGAGATAGGTGGGCGCATGACAGCGCGCTTGGTCCCCTGCGGCGGTGGTCGAACATGCACTGGTCGAAGCTGCTCGTGTAGGCGGCTGGACGGGTAAGCACAGCTTTCATGTCGAATAGCTTCAATGTCAATGCACATCTGGTCCTCTAGGTAGGCGTCGATTCGTTTTCGAGTGCGGCTGAGAACTAGTACATCGCAGAAACACTCCAAGGTGGCACGAGGAAGTCCGCTACCCAATCGCATCTGCCCTCGCGCTCCCATTCAGCAGTTTGCAACCACGGGGTTCGTCTTCGTCGCGATGTGGCCGTGGCCCTCCATTCTGGCGGTCTTGCAGGTGGTTCCATCTGGCTCCGCTTCAGGTTTTGAAAGGTGGCCCGGTATGCGCCTCGACTACTACGCCTGCGCACACGAGGCTGATCGAGCCAGTCCAAAACGTCCAGTCATCATCCACAAGGCCTTCAACCATTTTGTGCACCCGATGGTCATCTTGGGGGCCCACTTCGAGCTGACCCCCTGTGTCGAGGAAAAGTGTACACCCTTCAGGCCAAAATCTGAGCGTGTAGGGACATAGCCGTGTCAAGGGAGTCTGACCAGATCAGCTTGGGGCTCACGGCTTTGCGTAGGCCAAATATAGAAGCTGAAACAAATGGATGGAAAAGGACGCGTTGTGCTCACCACCTCCCGTAGCACCACCAGGTGGAGCTGGTGCGCCAGATGGCTCGC